TATGTAGCCTTTAGCTATACATATGGACTCTTATGAAATTATATTGGCTCCTTTAATCTTTGCTTATACTTTCCTTTTGGGTGTTTAAGTCCATACATTTGGTCCAGATAAACCGATTTATTTTTACTCTTAAGGTCATTTGAAGATCTGTTCCTCAGACATAACATGGACTTGGGAGGAGCCCCTGGCTCCTTTCTTTGACCAGTTCCACCTATGTGAAGATAATTCAAACGTCCTACTCGACCATGGTTGGCTTCGCTTGGAAGTATGGAGGAAATGATTCCTCTGTTTTGACCCTCCTCTTTATAGACTGGACACTGGTTCAAGTCCATCTGGTGGGGTCTCTTCAGCCTCCTTGATCAAGAGGACAGGTGACCAACCACCATTATAGGACATTTTGAGAGATGCTCATAGTCCCTTGGTACTAGTCGACCTAGGAAGTCAAGGAGCAAAAAGTGTCCTTTATGTCCCTCTGACCAAATTATTATAGACCTCAAAGTATGTCTGTCAAACACCCAAGGTTAGTTCCACCACTATAGTATTTTTAATTACTGTGTGTCATGTAGATAAATCTTGGGCAAAGACCACTTGTTCTCAGTTAACCTTCCTTAGACATATATTTCTTGATCTGCTATGTATAATTTGTCAGGTTGTAGGAGTAACATGGTTACTCTGGTTTTCAAAACTAGCTAGGCATTTTTTATCTCTCACATTTTCTCACCCCTCCATCATGGTTTTCTCACTTAAGGTACCCCCATTTCCCCCATTTCCCCCATTTCTCCCTTAATAATACCTTCCTCCTATGGTCCTACATCTCTTGAGCTCCTTTTTTTCCCTTTATCCCCTAGGTTCCTGTATACCCTTCCCTCCCCCTCCCTTAAACCCAATTTTTATCCGTATCTCCCTTATTATGGCCTTCCTACACTCTCATGATTCCTTGAATGTCCTTCCCTCCTCCCTTCCATGTTGAATACTCCCATTTTCCCCTCAGTAACATCTGTTTCCTACTATCCCCATCTCTCAGGGTCTTTCATTTCCTTTACATCTGTGCTTCATTTCCATTTTCCTTACATCAGGATATACACTCACATAGAATGATTTGGTGCTAAGATCCACAAATGAGGCTTTTTCTGAGTCTGTGTTATTTCACTTAGTATAACAGTTTCTAATTCCATCAGTATACCTGCAAATTTCATTATTTCATCTTTCTTTACTGCTGAGTAAAACTCCATCGTAAAAATGAACCACATTTTCATTATCCACTCATCAATTGAGGGACACTTCGGTTGATTCCATCTCTTAGCTATTGTGAAAAGAGCAGCAACAAATCTAAAAGAAATGGACAGATATCAAAAGGCATGGGAACCACGAAATCTAAACCAAGAAGAGATTAACAGCTTAAACAGACCCATAGCACAAAGATATTGAAACAGTAATACAAAACCTCCCGACTAAAAAAAGCCCAGGACCAGATGGATTTACAGCAGAATTCTATGAGACCTTTAAAGAATATCTGCATCCAATACTACTTAATTTGTTTAAAAAAATAGAATTGGAAGGAGAACTTCCAAATTCCTTCTATGAAGCCAGCATCACTCTAATACTAAAGCCAGGAAAAGATACAATCAAAAAAGAAAACTGTAGTCCCATATCCTTAATGAACATGGAAGCAAAAATTCTCAACAAGATACTAGCAAACCTCAAACAGACACACATCAAAAAGATTGCCTACCATGGTCAAGTCGGCTTTATCCCAGAGATGAAGGGATTGTTCAATATATGTAATTCGATAAACATCATAAATCATATAAATGGAATAAAGACAAGAAAAATATGGTCATCTCAATAGATGCAGAGAAGGCCTTTGACAAAATTCAACATGCATTTATGTTCAAAGTCCTAGAGGGAATTGGACTGGAGGGAACATACCTCAACGACAGGAGATGGAAATTAAAGGAGTACTAATTTCAAAAGAAGAGGTCAAGTTATCACGTTTGCAGATGATATGATACTATACCTAAGAGATCCCAAGAGTTCCACCAGAAAACTCCTAGACCTAATCAACACTTTCAGTATAGTGGCTGGTTATAAAATCAATCTACAAAAATCAGAAGCCTTTCTATATGCCAATAACAAGCAGTTGGAGAAAGAATACAGGGAAATGTTCCCATTCACAACTGCTGTTAAAAAATTAAAATATCTTGGAGTAAATCCGACCAAAGACACCAAAGATCTCTACAATGAAAATTTTAAATCATTAAAGAAAGAGATTGAGGAAGACACCAGGAGATGGAAGGACCTTCCATGTTCATGGATTGGAAGAATTAATATTGTGAAAATGGCCAGCCTACCAAAAGTCATATATAGATTCAATGCATTGCCAATCAAAATCCCCATGACATTTTTCAATGAATTGGAAAAAACTTTCCTAAGATTCATATGGTAGCACAAAAGACCTTGGATAACCAAAGCAACCCTGAGCACTAAGAGCAATACCGGGGGGATTACTACAACACATTTCAAGCCGCATTACAGAGCTGGTTATAAAAACAACATGGTACTGGCACAAAAATAGACCCATAGACCAATGGAACAAAATTGAAGACCCAAATATGAGTTAATGCAATTTCAGCCACCTGATATTTGACAAAGGGGCCAAGAATAGTCACTGGAGGAAAGACAGCATGTTCAACAAATGGTGCTGGCCAAACTTGATCTCCACTTGTAGAAGAATGAAACTAAACCTCTAACTTTCATGCTGCACTATAGTCAATTCCAAATGGCTCAAAGACCTCAAAGTAAAGCCTGAGACTCTAAAACTATTAGAAGAAAACATTGCGGAAAACCTACAAGATAAAGGTGTAGGAAAGGATTTTCTAAACCAGAAATCAATTGCTCAGGAAACAAGGGCAACAGTTAACAAATGGGCCCTCATTAAACTAAAAAAGCTTCTGTACATCAAAAGAAGCAACCAAGGAAGTGAAGAGAAAACCCACAGAATGGGAGAAAATCTTCACCAGCAACACATCTAACAGAGGTTTAACATCCAGAATATATAACGATCTCAAAAAACAA